CTCCTCAAAGGCCGGCTCTTTGCCTGGTTTCACAAGTTCTAGCTCTGTTTCATAGGTCTAGTCTTTACAGTAGCACCGTCAAAAGTTCAGGTTACCTCTCTACTTGGGTCTTCCAAGTGGGCTTCCGTCCTCTTACCTGGTTCCTATGATTTACACAGCCTAAGGACTTATCTTGAGTTCACACTGCCCGGTACCAGTTTGTGTTCCTTCATACAACGTTGCACGGATGCCTAGACCTTCCAGTCAGGCTGGTATGACACAGGTTACAAGTATCCTATCCCAACCAATCACAGAAGACAGTTAGCCATAATACAGAAAGAATTGCAAATTTTCATCGTCACTGGGATTTGAACTCTAAACCTGCCACTTGGGAGTTGACAACCTATCCACTTCACTAGGTCGCCACACCCCTTCTGTAACTATTGTAATATAATTACAAAGCTAAAATATACTATTAATAAAAGTCTAAGTTACAAGTACACATTTTTAATATTAAAAAAAAAAATTTAATATATACATGTTCTAAACAACAAACTTCATCTTTTTATAATAAAAATACTAAATATACTTATTATATTTTTATATATTTTTGTATTTGTAATTAATCTAATTAACTTTATTTTTATTTTAAAACCTATTTACTAGTTAGTCAAGCTTTTAAAAAAATAGTATTTGGATCACATTATGGATCAAGTATAATAACTTTTAACTTTATTTATCTATAAATAATATTTTCTAAGTGAGTTTTGATCACTAGTAGTTTAGGTTACAAATAAATTAAATATTTTATTTAATTGTTTGAGCTTTTATTTTTGTATATAATTTCTTTTTATTTTTTATTTGTACTAAAAATACAAGCAAAACCTTATTTTAAAAAAATATATAAATATATAAAAAAAATAAATAGAATTATATACTAATAAAAAAAATATAATAAAATGTCAACCTTATAAAAAAATAAAAAATATAATAAAATTTTAAAATATTAGCCAATCACAATTTAGTATTTGATCTCAAATTTGGCATAAAAAATATAAAATTTAAAAGTTTTTTATATAATGTGCTTAGTCCTAATCGTGACCGGACAGTTCAAGCTTCTTTATATCGAAAGATTCTTTAACCGATTTAAATCGGAGTCGCCAAACCATTCGATTTACATAAAATATTACTGTCAAAAGCGCATAGATGAAGCTTTTCAAATCTATAAACACAGAATTATCTTGACAATTACATTTCTTTTATGCATTGCATTTTTATACCCCTGCGGAAAAAATTGCGCATGATGCATTGATTATAAGAACGCAATAAGGTATCCAGCACAGACCGGAGTAACCGGTAACACAGGTCAATGCCAAAAAAAAGGTTCATGTCACAAAATATCTTCGACGCGACAGACATACATATATAAAATACGGCAAAAACAGTGTTTCTTTCTCGGTACACTTTACCTGCTGTAGAATCCCCGTTCACTTGGCGAGAATCTCATCCTGCCTTTCCATTCCTTCGAATTTTGATCTGTTCAGTTTTGTCTACGTACTTACATTCAACTTTGTACATTGAAAATTTACTGTGAATTGCTTTTTACCAAACTGTGCACTATAAATTCAACGTTTTAGCATTTATTTCCTTCATCTTGACACATCATGCCATCCAAGACATCGAAATATGTATATCATGGTCATAGCAAGATAATTTCTGGTGTTATTGCAGTTCTAGAAGCCACCAGTAAACCACTTTCTTTACAAGAGCTGGTTGATGAAATGACCAGACGGCAATTAGTAGTCTTCCAGTAAGCATTATTTTTATCCATTTGAAAAGTTTAATGACTGTTGGTTCACGTTATTCCAAGTTATAGAAGTTTTCCGTTTGTATTTTAACCGTAATTTATTTGAATTGCAGTGGTGCAACGCCACGCAACACTGTAAGCGGTGAAATCAGTAAGCTTCTCAATGCAGTTGGTCCCAGCAATGCACCTATCCTCAAAGTTAACCAGGGCAAACTTACCAAATTTTTCTTGCGACCGCGTCATCAAGATACGTTGTAAGTTGACCTATTGTATTTAATAATAGATTTTTAAATCGGTTGTTAATTTATGATACCTTCTTTTCTGTAAATAACAGAAAACAGCTGCCGAACGGTAAAATCCAAAAGAGGCACTCGTCCCGTTCTAATCGCAATAATCATCACCTTCAGGCGACTACCATGTCATCATCTGATGTCCAAAGTCAAAAAGAGCGCGTCCTCGATCAAAAGAAACGTCGTCAGATGGAAGATCTCAAGTAATTGTGCTATTCATTTAATTTATGATTGATCTATCTCATTGGTTCTACCGCATTGTCCGAAATAACGCCCGGGGCGTTATTTCGCGACAATACGGTAAGTCTGATCCCGATCATTATTGTACTAATCCATTATATAACATCCAGGGCTGCTTATCTACTTTCCTGTCTTTCTGTTCATTCGTTCTGGCTGAATTTTAAGAACGAACCAGAAAAGGATTTCAAATACTTTTTGGAAGCTCATGTTGGAGAGGCTTCATTAATTTCGAACGGTGCTACTGAAAATGATAGTGATCTTAAAAATCTCACGATGGATATAGATTCATGTATGACAAAATATTGAAATGATTATTACTAATTTTGCTTCGACTATACTTTGAAGATTACGCATATAATCAGGACAACCGTCAAAAAGAAAAAAAAAAAAAGGACAAAAATAAAATGATTAAATAAAAACTAGATTTCACGATTTCATAATAGACTTAATACAATACTATAGTACTCTTATTTAATTGTAGATATTAATTACCCATAACTTTTCGAAACATTTCTAATAATGCGATAATTACAAAATGAGATCTAATATCAGTAAGCTGGATTGTTTTTTAATAAATTTGTGATTGGCTATTTTTTGGATTTCTTTCCTTTTTCTAATTATTTTTTCTGTAATTCTTTCCATTTTTTTATTTCGGATTTTTGTCTGTTTATCTGTTTTAAGGGGCATTTTGGCATGCCAATTTGCGCTAATGTCTTTCACCTGGCAGTGGCATTGATCCTTTACATACATAAATCCACCTTAGTATAATTCGGTATAAGACATTAATATATTGTAAAATAATAATTTATGTATTCTGCTTTCGTGGTTATTTTAAAAAGAAAAAAAAATATTAACTAATAATTGTTTAATAAAAACCTTACTAAATTCTGTAATAAAAAATGTCAACTTCTAATAGTATATATATTATTTCAAGTTTTTTAATTATAAGTAATGTGCAGAGTAATATTTGTTATATTAAGGTAAGATTAGCGAAAATTTTTTTTTTACGGTGAGCACTTTGCCCCAGTGTACTTATATCAAATTGTTTAGAATTAATTGG